TTAAAATTTGACTGAATATCTCTATCCAAAGTACCTTTCCTTTTTGACTAGTTTTAGATATTTTTGTTTTGAAATTATAGCCCTTTATGTTTTATTTTGTGATGAATTTGAGGCCAATTATGAATTACTTGACTGTTTTTTAAATTTGTTTTTAGTACTAACTTCAGTAGTGCATAAACTATAAGATCTACAATAATATACAAAAAGTCTACAGGCTCAAAGATCACTGAGTAAATGCACAATAAATCTTAGTGTAATTGAAAACAATGCTTGAATTAAACAATGAACAAAAATTACTACAATGGAAAAGACAAAAAATTTTTTCACATAGACAAAGTGCTATATATATATATATATATATATGTATATATATATACATACACACACACATACATATATATACATACACACATACATATAATAAGTATATAATATTACATTTATATATATATGTATATGTATGTGTATATATGTATTATAGATACACATACACATATATATATAAATATAAAAATCCTTAAAGCATTATGAAACATGACATGTGTGGGAGAAACAAAATTAGGATTTAATACAAATATCACTTTAAGAATTTGAGAAATTATTCTCATGTATCTTATCTTTTAATTTTAGTAAATCAACAATCAATATACTATATGAATGCATATGTGTACACAAATGCCTAATGCAAATAACTAAAACCATTTATTTTTCATTTTTTCCAGGGCCTGTTTTACATCTTTGTTCCTTAGGCTGTAAATCAGAGGATTTAACATGGGAATCACAAGAGTGTAAAACAATGAGGTCATTTTGTCTTCATCTAGAGAGTACGAAGAACTCGGCCTGAAATACATAAAGAGCAGAGTTCCCTGGAAAATTGCCACAGCAGTTAGGTGGGAGGCGCAGGTGGAGAAAGCTTTGAACCTCCCCTCAGCAGAGTGGATCTTCAAGACTGATAGGATGATATAACAATAAGAGACAAGGACTCCTGAAATGGAGCTTAACTCAATAAAGCCAAAAATCATGAATATCACTAACTCATTGACCTGTGTGTCTGAGCAAGATATCAACAGGAGAGGAGGAACATCACAGAAAAAGTGGTTAATCTCATTTGACCCACAGAAGCATAAGCGGAATGCTAATGTCGTGTTTATCAAAGCATCTATCATCCCCACCAGGTAAACTCCAGCCATGAGCAGGGAGCACAGCCTGCTGGACATGTTGACCGCATAGAGCAAGGGGCTGCTGACGGCCTTGTACCGGTCATAGGCCATCACTGCCAGCAGGAGACACTCAGAATCGGCAAAGATACAGAAGACCAAGAACTGCAGAGCGCAGCCACAGAAAGAGATTGATTTGTTCTTGGCAAATAGGTCCATGAGCATTTTAGGGCCGATGGCTGTGGAATAGCAGAGGTCACAGAAGGAGAGGTGGCTGAGGAAAAAGTACATGGGTGTGTGCAGCTGGGGATCCATCCTAATCAGGGTTATCATTCCAAGATTTGCCAGAAGGTTGATGAGATAAACAAGGAGAAACATTGTAAATAGGATCACTTTGTTCTCAGTGTTGTCAGTAATTCCCAAGAAAATGAATTCAGTCAAGGAGGAGCAATTATCTCTTTCCATTCTCCTTAGATCTTGTGTAAACTTTTGAGAAAGTTATCAAGAAAATCACACATGCATGTTCAATGCTTCTGCACATCTTAAAAAAATCATAAGGCAGAGCAATATTTCCCTTAATTGTCTTTTTATACTTAGAAAATAATCCAGTCTTGTACCTACTCTTTAAAGAGGCATAACTGTCTATTCTGCAAAAATAAAAGGCATATGAGGAAGATGTTTGAGAATGTTTCAAGTCAATCTAGATGCCATTCATGAGGTTGCTGCTTCTAAAATCTCTTCTCTGACCCTTATTTTTCTTATATCAGAGAGTAGAGCTGGTTGATATTACCTTTCTTCAATTCTTTAAAATCACATGGAAGAGACACCAGTATTAGTAAGACCAGATTCTAAGACTTCGGACTGCCCTTTTGCTTTGTTTAAAAATATTCACTTGAATACAAAAGAAAAAAAAAATGATTACTAGTTTTGGTCTCTCCAAAAAGCATGATTGGTTTAAGAATGTTCTTCTTAGTTCCAGAAACAGTGAGTACGTCACTGGCTAGTAGTAATAAAAATCATTGTTACTGGTTTTAGCTTATCTTCTGCTTAGCATTTGGGGAGACATGAAATACCTTATTACTGACCTGCTTTCTAGAAATTTGCTATTGCTTTCCCATAATGCTCATTACCTCTTTGTGGAGAGGTTACTGTCTTGGATGACTCTTGACCAGTGGATGAAAAGAGCCAAAAGGAAGTGAAAACAACAGAATGTACCACATATATTTGCATCACTTTAGATTTTTAATGACTCTCAATTTAATTGAATGTAAATTAGATGAGGGACAATAAATGCTTCTAAAATGCAAAGACCTTGCGCTCTCTGTTGTATTTATGTGTATGCCTGTGTATATATGTTAATGTAAATGAAAGCAGTGGACTTTCTCTTTAGACCTAAGTAAATATAGTATGTGGTCTACATGGAGGTGGATTTGTACATGCTTTTGTTTTAATTGTGGTATCTATGCTATAAAACAAAACACAACTTAATTTTTTTGTTTCTATAAAACAAAACACCTTAAATTCATGTACAGTCACTCAGTGAAAAAAAGAGCAAAGACTTTTATGTGAGCCAACAGAAAAATAAAATTACATTATGAATGTTAACAAGTTCAGACAGATGCTTCCAATGTTGTGAAGAAAATATTATTTCTGCCATTAAATGCAGATTTTAGTGAGTAGGTAGGCATGAAGTCCTTCATTTACAAACTTTTATTCCCCCCTCCCCAATTTAAATATTTTCTCTTATTTTTCTTAAGTTCGGATCTAGAAACGTACCTGGAAAGAGCAGGTCTTGGGGAGCTGAACAGTATTGAGCATTTGGTCTTTTATTTCACCGGGTATATTGGGACTTAAATCCCTGTGCTACGGCCCCTAGGCTTTAGTATTATTCAAACACTTCATTAATTATATTTCTGCTTCCGTGTATTCCCCTGGCAGAGGAAGACATGGCTAGATAGCGTCACTGACTCAATGGACGGTAATTTGCGCTAACTCTGGGAGACAGTGGAGGACAGAGGAGCCTGATGCGCTGCCATCCCTGAGTTTGCAAAGCGTCAGACAGGCTTTGAAACAGAACCACCACCACAACATTCCCCTGCGAATTCAGAAACAGCTTAGCAGAAGCTGAGTGTCTGTGGTTCATTATTGTGTCCAACTTGCTCTGTGGAAGGAAGGGTACTGCAAATGATTTGTGTGGTGTGTGTCAGCTACCCGGAAACTATCTCCTCCTTCTCTAGTCAAAGAGGAAACTTAGTGAAATTCTAAAAGTTCCTTGTTCATCCAACTCTTTGTGATTGTTCATTGTGTTTTTGAAATATTCTCCTTCACTACCTCATGTCAGAATATTGCACTTTGATCATATTTTCTTTTATCTTGAATTTTATGACAATCCTATGTCATAAAATCATCCTTCTAATGTATACAGTTCTCTGATTTTTAGTGCACTTTCAAGCTTGCTCACTCATTACGCTATCTAGTTCCAGAACATCTTCATCAGTCCAAGAAGAAATCTACACCTACTAGCTCTCACTCTCCTTCCTCCCTCTCTAGCCTGGCAATTGCTAATCTTCGCTCTGATACTATGTGGTTTCCTATTATTGGCCTTGCCTATAAAGAGAATTATGTAGTGTGTGTGCGTGTGAGTGTGTGTGTGTGTGTGTGAGTGTGAGTGTGTGTGTGTGAGTGTGTGTATGTGTGTGTGTGAGTGTGAGTGTGTGTGTGAGTGTGTGTGTGTGTGATTGTGTTTCCCATCAGGTTTATTTTCTTCAGTTAAATATTTTCAAGTTCCATCCATGTTGTTACATGTGTTAGAATTCTGTTTCACTATGTGGCTGAATAGCATTTCATGTTACGGATATAATGCACTTTGGTGATCCATTTTTCAGAAGGATGAACACTGGCTTGTTTCTACTTTTCAGCTGATAGGAATAACAACACTATAAACATCCTGTCAATCCCTTTCAAGACGGCCCTCATTACCAAATATTAGCTTTTTCCCATTCTCCAACTACATATCATCCAAGGACATTTCACTGATTTTATGACTTCATCACATTGTCTAAATAGTGCTGTCTTTTCTGANATGACTTCTTTCCTGCTAAAGACAGGGGATTCTCTACTTCAAGTCCTGTCCAATTGTCACATCCTTGACTGCTCTCTTTTCATCACCCAACATGGATCTTTCTTAGATATGAGACTGAATTCTTCATCCAAAGATGCTTTTACTTTACACTAGTTTTAGATACTTTGCTTTTGGATTTACAGCACTCAACTTTTTATTCCATGATGACTTTTATATGAATTTATTTATTTTAATTGGAGGCTAATTACTTTACAATATTGTAGTGGTTTTGCCATACATTGACATGAATCCACCACGGGTGTACATGTGTTCCCCATCCATGATGATTTTAAGCCTAATTATAACTTACTTGACAGTTTAGTTCATTATTGTCTAATACTAGCACCAACTTAAATTCAATAATATAGAATCTAAAAAAAATGTACTATAATATATAAAGAATCTAAGTGGTAGAAGATTACTCAATACATGCATTATGTCTTAGTGAAATTGAAATAATGTTTGAATAGAAAATTACTCCAGAATTAGCACAATTAGAAATATCAAAAGCTTTTTCAAAAATAACAAGTGCCATATAGAAACTCTGGCCACATACTAAGCATAACATGTGAGGGGAACTGCAATATCTCTTAACAGCAGGGTTTAATACAAATAATTTAGGAATCTGAAAAAAAATGTTTCTCATTTATCATGCCATATAATTTTCATTAAGCAATTACTATATGTGTGTAGTCATATGTACAGATATATAATAACAATATTTAAAAATATAGTTTATTTTTCAATTTTTCTATGGCCCCTTTTACATCTTTGTTCCGCAAGCTATAAATCAGAGGGTTTAACATGGGAATCACAAGAGTGTAAAACAATGAGGTCATTTTGTCTTCATCTAGAGAGTACGAAGAACTCGGCCTGAAATACATAAAGAGCAGAGTTCCCTGGAAAATTGCCACGGCAGTTAGGTGGGAGGCGCAGGTGGAGAAAGCTTTGAACCTCCCTTCAGCAGAGTGGATCTTCAAGACTGATAGGATGATATAACAATAAGAGACAAGGACTCCTGAAATGGAGCTTAATTCAATAAAGCCAAAAATCATGAATATCACTAACTCATTGACCTGTGTGTCTGAGCAAGATATCAACAGGAGAGGAGGAACATCACAGAAAAAGTGGTTAATCTCATTTGACCCACAGAAGCATAAGCGGAATGCTAATGTCGTGTTTATCAAAGCATCTATCATCCCCACCAGGTAAACTCCAGCCATGAGCAGGGAGCACAGCCTGCTGGACATGTTGACCGCATAGAGCAAGGGGCTGCTGACGGCCTTGTACCGGTCATAGGCCATCACTGCCAGCAGGAGACACTCAGAATCTACAAAGGTACAGAAGACCAAGAACTGCAGAGCGCAGCCACAGAAGGGGATTGATTTGATCTTGGCAAATAGGTCCACGAGCATTTTAGGGCCGATGGCTGTGGAATAGCAGAGGTCACAGAAGGAGAGGTGGCTGAGGAAAAAGTACATGGGTGTGTGCAGCTGGGGATCCATCCTAATCAGGGTTATCATTCCAAGATTTGCCAGAAGGTTGATGAGATAAACAAGGAGAAACATTGTAAATAGGATCACTTTGTTCTCAGTGTTGTCAGTAATTCCCAAGAAAATGAATTCAGTCAAGGAGGAGCAATTCTCTCTACTCATTCTTCTTTGTTCTTTTCTAAAGTTCTAGCAAGTGATCAAGAAAACGACATGCTATGTGAAACACTTCTGCACATCTGCAAAATGTCATAAGATAGATCATGATTTTTTTTTATAATTATATTTTTATATTTAGAAAATAATTCATGTTAGGTGAACATACACTTGAAGAGGGATAGCTGTATACTAAGCAATAATAAAAATTATCTGGAATTGAACTTTGAGAAATAGTGATGTAAATTTAGATATCATTCACGAGGTATGCTACTTTCTACTGAGCATTATTTTCCTTATCTCAGTGGGTAGATATTAGTAAATTACACCCTCCTTATCTCTTCACAATAATTTGTAAGAGACACCAGTGGTAGAGGAGCCAGGTTTAAGACATGAGACTAAGCATTTTCTATGCTTGAAAATATTCACTTGAATACAAAAAATGATTAGAAAAGATAATTACAAAATTTATGTTTCTCAAAAACACATGATCAATTTAAGAGTCTTTATTTCCAGAAACAATGAGTATAACACTGACTAATGTTAATTAAAAAAAAAAATTATACAGATTTTAGTTTATGTTGTGTTTAGTATTTGGAGATCCACGAAATAAGTATTATTTACCTTTATGCTAGAGATTTGTAACTGCTTTCCCACAATGCTCTTTATCTCTTTCTGTAGTAGTTGTAGTCAAGGGATGAATCTGTTGACCAGTGGGAGAAAAAAGTTAAAAGGAAGTAAAAGCAACAGAATGTACCACGTACATTTGCATCACTTTAGATTTTAAATCCCCTTTAAATTAATAAAATGTAAATGAAAAGAGTGACAATAAATACTTTTAAAATACATAGACTCCTCTCTATGTTATATGTATGTATTTATGTGTGTGAATATGTATATATATATTTAATGTATCTGAGAATAGAATGTAAGTAATAGACTTTTTCCTTCAGTTCAGTTCAATTCAGTTGCTCAGTCATATCCGACTCTTTCCGACCCCCAGAGCGTATGTATGGTTCACGTGGAGATGAATTTGTACATGTTTTTAATTTTACTGTGGTACCTACACTATTTTTTCAATAAAACAATATATACCTTAAATTGTTCTATAATACTTACCAAATGATAAAAAGAGTAAAGGCTTTCTTTCCCATGAACCAAGGACAAAATGAAATAAAATAAAAGTAATTATATGTGGATATTAACAAGTTAAGACTCATTTAATTCTGAGAAGAAAATATTATTACTAACCATTAAATGCAGATTTTAGAGACTAGACAGGCATAAAATGTTTCATTTGCAAAAACTTTGCTTTTCTCAGAAACTTAAGTATTTTCCCCTATATTCTCTAAGTTAGGATCTAGAAACCTGCCTGAGATGAGCATGGCTTGAGGAGCTGAAGAACAACCAGTGAGTGTTAGTCACTCCGCCGTGTCCAGCTCTTTGTGACCCCGTGTGACCTCCCCTGGCTCCTCTGTCCACGGATATCTCCAGGCACGAATACTGGAGCGGGTTGCCATTCCCTTCTCCCGGGGATCTTCCCAACCCAGGGATCAAACCTAGGTCTCCTGCGCCGCAAGCAGACGCTTTACCATCTGAACCACCAGGGAAGAACAGGTACATTGGGACTTAAACCCCAGTGCTACTGCCCATGGGCTTTGACGTTATATAAACACTTCATTAATTACATTTCTGTTTCTCTATATTCCCTTGAGAGTTCAAAACAACTTAGCCCCAGCTTTTTTGCGCTTCACTGTTGTTACCAAATTGTTCTGTGTTAGGAAGAAAACTGCAAATTGTAGGACTGCTTGACAGTTACCCTGAAACTATTTCCTCCTTCTTTAGTAAAACAGGAAACCTAAAGAAACTCAAAAAAGATCCCTCCCCCCATCATTTCTAACTTCTTTGCATTATTCATTGTGTTTTTGAAACATTCTCCTTCATACCTCATTTAGGAGTATAACTACACTCTAACTGTATTTTCTTTCATATTGAAATATAATACATACATTACATATGCCATAAAATTCACCCTTTTAAAGTATATAGGTTTTTGTTTGTTTCAGTTTTATCTTGTTTTCAAGGCTTTTCAGTCTTCACCACTATCTACCTACAGAACATTTTCATCAGTTCAGTAAGAACCCTATACCTATTAGGTCTCATTCCCTGCCCCTGCTGACCCCAGCTCTGGCAACCACTAATCTATATTCTGACTCTGTGCAGTTTCTTATTCTTAGTCTTGCATATAAACAGAATCATGCAATATATATTGTATTTTTTCTTCTCTCAGACATTTTTTCTTCAGTGAAATATTATCAAGGCTCATCCATGTTGTTCCTGTGTCAGAGTCAGAATTCTGTTTCATTGAAGGGCACGATAATATTTTATTTTATGGATATTGCACACTATACTGACCCATTGTTCAGCTGGATAAATGTTGGGTTGTTTCTGCTCTTTATCTG